ATATTGATTACCTTTCTCTTCTGTATCCATGCAATGCAAGCCACCCCAGGCTCTCACTGTTCTATTGGGTATGGATCTAAAGATACTCTTCAGAAACTTTCCTGCAATTAAACTCCAACGATAAGAACGTTCTCTTGTTGCCAAATTTAAGTAAAATAGATAATTAATTATCAGTAAAGGGGTTTTGGCAATGACGTGCTTACCAAAGCTTAAACTGTTAATTATGGATCTAGAATGATTTTCATATCTAGTAAAATGATGTACATAGATATTCCAAATGCCTTAATTTTAAGTTTAATTTCTTTTGTTAGGTGAAAGAGGCTGAAAGAAGCCCCCATAATAAACAAGAAAAGTGGATATAAGAACATCCAACAAATAATTAATCTATTTTGCAAATGCGGAATAAGCTTCAAATTTCTTACTAATAGACTATTGTAATGATATGGGAAGTGGAATATAACAAACAAATAAATATGCCAATGATAATGGTAAAGGAAAGTGCTAGGTGTGTTGTATATATCCTATATCACAATCTTCATTTCCTCCCATTTTTTGATGTATTATATTTCTAGCATACTGATCAGCCATAAAATTTCATGTTAGCAGAATTTCTTCAGTTATAAAATTGGCTATCTCCGGCCTCTTTCAATAACTGCAGGTAAATACAGTTAGCATTTAAAATATACTCTGCTTATTGAAGGAACTAGAATCCTTCATATCCAACATGAAATTTCCAATGTGAAATTGACATCGCCTAAATTTATAAACCGAACATGGATAAAAGGCTTGTGTGTAATGCAACAATTTGGAATAATTGAGTCATATAGCACCAATTTCCAATGTGAATTGTTCCATATTTTAATCATTCAGATTTACAAGCGAGATAACCAAAGAGAATTAAAGCCCTAGTTGAATGACTTGATTGCGACATATATGAAAGCATTATCTGCCACCAAATCCACTGCCGAAGTGAAAACATAACAGATTCAGGAGTCAGTATAATAATTGCATCGTGTTGCACCCTTATTAGCACTGCAGTTAGAAGGTATTACCAAGGCATTTGATCCACCATATAATATTGCGACAAGTGGCAAATCACCCAATGTCAATCAATCTCTACGATTCCCTTTTTTCTTTTAATTTATTGGTAATAAATAATAATTAACAATGTTATTTAATAACTTGAATTGCAAGTAAATCACATAAAAAACTGTTAATAAATGTTATTAGATAGTATTTATACTTTATCAATATTTTACTGAAAAAATATATTAATAGTTATTCACTAGACTTATATTTGTTAGTATATATATTATTTAACAAAAAAAAAAGAAGATTACATAGATATATATTAATAAAGAATTTTATTAGTATAGAAAAGTAATACACAGCATTAATGTATCATGAGATCATAATGTTAACATAAACTTACAAATATTTAGTTCAATCTGCCTTTTGATAAAATAAGTCATCAGACTAGTTATTGATACTTGTTTAGTAATGTATGATTAAGTTTGCACACTTTTAGGGCTGTAATTGTATTTTTTAAACTATAAAAGAATTTAACTTTAAGAATGTTTTATTGAAAAATTTAATTAAAAATAATTTCAAAATATTTTGTTTCTTTAGAATATTTTTTTAAAAAAATGCATAAAAAATCCAACATTCTCAATTTAAAATTCTTCAAAATTTTAAAAGAATTTTTCTACTAAATAAAAATACCTCTTAAAAAGTTATGCAAAGGTTTAAATCGACTACATATTTTAAAAATATATAATATCTTATTTTGCTCGATCAATTTCTTGAGATTAAAAATGTATGCATTTAGATGCCAAACTATCTAATATGATATTACTTATTTCATTTGAATTTGAGAATATTCTCATTTAAAATAGAAAGCGCAACCAAGGTATAGATGAAAGTTACAATATGTTAACATGCGCAACCATTTTTTAACAAAATAAATTATGTTATTTTTATTAGTTTCTTTTATTGTTATATACCCAATGAAATTGAGCTCTTTTATGATAAGACTATATGCTAAAATTTATGATCCCGCCCAATAATTTTTTTTTTCATCGTATTCATAAATCTTAAAATCAAATTCAAGACTACATGTTTCAAGAAACTCAAATCCACTTCCCTCAGATTAGTACATTTTTTGTGGGTTTTTTTTATAACTTTTTTTTTTCTTTTATAGATTGCACTCGATCTTTGTGTTAATTTTCAGGCAACAATGAATCATTTTCATTATTGGTCTATAAAAGTACTAACAAGCTGCTAAACTTAAAGTGGCAATTACATCAGTAGTTTTATGTCAAAATTACCCTTCTAAATAGTTCTTAAACTTATAACATAGGGGAGGGGGCTAACTTTATCACCAGAATATGGACCTTATTAAAATTCGTTCTTGATCTAGGTTTCATGGAGTAGGTGGGTCTGGTCTTTATGATTTTAGATTGGCATAATTGACCCTCCGGACAATATTAAGTTTGGATGTGAAACTTTGTTTAATCTTTTTATTCATTTTTATAAGGATTGAAAAGTGTCTTGTACTCCTAATTTTCACTGCTGAAAAAACACTTCACAACCAGAATAGCTCAATTCGATAAATATAAAGTGCTGGATATAAATCATAATTTCTTAGTAGTGATTCGATCGCGCAATCAATTGCAGTTCATGAAAGGACTTGTTGCCAGCTGATATAAGGCTTTTGGAAAAAAATTTCCCTGTAAATTATAAAGAAATTGATTCTAAAATCTGACCGTGTATGCCTGTCATTTTTATTACAAAATTGTCTTCTAGCATGATATTTTACCAGGAAACACACAGTACACACACATATAAATTGAACGAGAAGTGTTTATATATAAAAAATAAAAAAATAAATTATAATTATCATATTTTACTATGAATAATTAAAATTAAAGCATAAAAGTTGTGATATTTTTAAAAAATTATGTAACTTTATAAGTTAATTATGTAATCTTTCATTAACTTTTAATTTTGATTATTTATGTATAGTTGTATAAGCGAAACTTTTCTTCTTCTTTTTTTGTTTCATACAAAAATACAAAATTTACTCCTATAAAGTAAAAAGATATGTAAAGTAATGACTTATTTATCATTTATTAAATTTAAGTATTTTATAAATATAATTAATTTTAAACCAAAAATTGGTAGGTCATTTTTTCTCGCTTTATACATCTCCTATTTTTGCAAAAGTCAAATCTAAAATAACATTTTCACTAAATATATTTCCCATATGTGTGCATGCAAATGAGAGAGGGGTGAATAATTTAATTCTACAGTTTTTTCTTTAATTTTAAGTATGCATATTATCTTTAATACATTTTTAAAAAAAAAAGTAAACTATAGTCTTCATGAATTAATACAGAAGGTATAATTAACAATACAATCCTGTTGTATATAATACGAAATGAATAAAGAATAAAATTCCCTGTTTAATTGGCATCGATTACTTTTGCTAAACGAAAAAAAAAAACGGGAAGTAAAAGATAAACATGGGCAGCTTAGCATTTTAATTAAAATGGTATTGCGACTTTAGAAAAAAAAAAAGTTTACATTGTCTAAATTTGGAAAAATGAATATCAACTTATGCCAAAATAGGCAATTAATGGTTTAAGATCAACAAATTTTAGAATCATGTCTCCACCTGGCACATAAGATAGCTCTTAAATTTAATTAATATTATGTTTCCAAAGTGAAACGATACCTGCAATTTATCATACAAAAAAGGACTATATTCCACTTTCAAATCATAATATAAAACAATTAATACAACCAATGACTGCTTAATTAATTATATGTATCCAACCATGCCACTACCAAAAATTAAGGGGGGGGGGGGGTGTTTTTGGGTCTGGAACTAGAATTTGTGATCTTTTTAAGCAAAGGGTGCGCATGTGCACACATGTCAATCCCTTTTCCCAACAAAAGAGTTCAAATAGAACTTGGAGAAACATAAACTTTCATATGGAGAGAAAAACGGTTTCTAGATAAAGAAGCTCCACCTTCAGGCTCTTTTTTCCAATCTTGGAACTTGGTTTGAATCTGAGTTAAGTTTTATTCTGAAATGACCTTGGGCACTCACAGACTTAATAGTCTCATAGGCAAGTATAGCCTTGAGCATTTATGGTGGAGTTCCTTTAATTATGCCCGGTTCCTCAAGAATCTCTTCCAACAAAATTAAAAGATATACTATGGAAGAGAAAAAAAAAAAGAATCACGCACCCACAAACAGAAAATTGCGTTTTATGTGCATGCAATTAAGGAAGGTTCTCTACGCAAGGCATTCAGCAAAAATTTTGCACGTCCATGGTACTAATGCCTTGTTTGCTATAAAGAAAATAGTAAAATGTGGATGTTCAAGAAGCAAAGCATTTCCTAGAATTTTTGCCTTTTATGCTTTTAGTTTAATAAAACGGCAGAGAGGCTTGACAACTTGCAAAGAGAAAGGACCCACATACACATGATGCTTTTTCTGACCTAAGGTGGGAAGGGAAAAAATCGCTTTTATTGGACCAGAAATTCATTGATCAGTTGTACAACCAATCAAGAACCGATTCCAAGGGACCCATTGTGTGTTTATGAGCAGGGACGTTGAGAGAGAGAAAGGATTTCACATAACATTACTAACATGATTTCAGTAGGAACATCCTAGACTCGGAGGCACTTGTTGAACTGAGCCAAATTAAGAGACAATAAATCAGGAGTGGTGGGAGCCCTGCAAGGCTTCATCTGATTTATTTATAGCCTTTTTTATTTTCACTATTGAAGTTAATAATATTTTCTCTAGATCTAAATTATGCATTGCATCATATTTTAAAGGAGGGGGAAAACCCTCTATACCTTGAAAGATACTTTTAAGACATTATAAATATAGAGCTCACACTCCCTTTCTCACCAGGAATTCTCATTGATTTGTAAACCTTAGTTCCACTAAGCCTTCTTCTCTCTTCTTCTTTGTTCCTCTTATAATGGCAAGAATGCCTTTAGAGCCTCTAATTGTTGGAAGAGTCATAGGAGATGTTCTTGATTCGTTTACCACAAGCATAAAAATGAGTGTGAGCTACAACAACAGGCAAGTCTTCAATGGGCATGAGCTCTTCCCTTCAACTATCAACACCAAGCCCAAGGTTGAGATTGATGGTGCTGATATGAGGTCCTTCTTTACACTGGTAGATATCTACTTTTCCTCCACTCTTCTCATTCATTTTTTAAAAAGGAAAAAAGAAACAAAAAACTTAGGCTGTTTGCCAGTGTGTTTCTTTGTTGTTTTCTGTAATCATGATCACACTGTAAGCATCTTTCATTATGCCCTTCACAAATATTGAATCATTAAGCTAAATGTCTCCCTTTTTCGGTGCAGGTCATGACAGACCCGGATGTTCCTGGCCCTAGTGATCCCTATCTGAGAGAACACTTGCACTGGTACTAAATATGTGGATGATGATAATGATAGCTAGAAACCGCTTATTTCATTTGTTTAAACTTGGTTTAATTACTTATACATTAATACACCTAGTAGCCATTTATTACATAAATGACACACTCATCCCACATAGCTAACATATTCTTTTAACAACTCAACACAAACGAAAATCTTATGATAACAAGTTAATAACAATTTAAAACTAATTAATTTCTATACTTTATCCGTCTTTTGTTTACGTTAGATGTCTGTGTATTTCATGCCTTGTAGAAGTTTTGCAAGATAAAAAAATGCATTCCCAATTCCATCACATTAAATTAGAGAGGTATTTAATTAGTAACACCATGTACCACATGAAGAAGGTGCATACCTTCGTATTCAGTATCAGTTCCATGTTCTACCATGATCCATTCTGAAACAAATTACAATCTCAATGGGTAAAAGGATCTTGAAGTGCCAAACATACACAAAGAAAAGTACATAATTAAGGTAAATTACCCATTCATCATTTCGTAGGTATCTAACAGTGATTTTATTTTTTTTCAAAATATTCTTTTTGCAGGATAGTGACAGATATTCCAGGCACAACAGATGCCACATTTGGTAGGTTCATATATTGATTGATCAACTAGGAAAAATGTATATATATGGGAACTTACTGATCATGAGAGACACTGACTGACTAACTTGATGATCATTAATTTGTAGGCAAAGAGTTGGTGAGTTATGAGATCCCAAAGCCTAATATTGGGATCCATAGGTTTGTGTTTGTCTTGTTCAAGCAAAAACGTAGGCAGTGTGTTACTCCACCATCTTCAAGGGATCACTTCAACACTCGCAATTTTGCAGATGAAAATGACCTTGGCCTTCCTGTGGCTGCTGTCTACTTCAATGCTCAGAGGGAAACGGCTGCAAGAAGACGCTAGCTAGGTAGCTAGTTGGTGCTTGTTACTGCAACCAAAGTAGTATTGAATAAAGAGACCAAGTACAAAGAGTTTCAGTACTAGAAATTGATCCTCACATGTGTCTGAAATAACTTACAGAAAGTGAATCATTTTCTACTTTGACTAGTATGTGCTATGTTTTACTTTCCACCAGATGTGGTACGTTCTGTGTATTTTCGTGTATGCGTATTATTATTACCTTATGGGTACTTTGAGCTTAACTTATATAAAGAAATAAGAGGTTTGGTACGCTATGTCGTTTATTTTCCTTTAATAGTTTAGGGTTTTGCTTCGTTTGTTTCCTTTAGTTGTGTTAGTGGATTTCACTTGGTACCTTCAATTGTTTTATTCTATCTCTTCACAACTAAATTATAACTTTAATATAAAAAATTATATTAATTATAAGTATGGGATTTTCTTGTCATGTTGATTATTTTTCCTCTATTCAGATGCCAAACCTTTCATATTATTACAGTCATATGAGGCCTGCTCACCATATGACATCTGCTTGTAGCTAACTTGATGGATTGACACATCAGGAATACAGTGGTTTCTACTTCCTATAAATCATTTTTTCAGTATTCATTCTATAAAAGAAAATGTCATATGTATTGCTAAGGATTTGACATTGATTTATCTCCATTTAGTATAATATTTATCTAACGAAAATTGCATTATCATTATAAACACTGTAAATTTATCCTATCAAATAATTTCATTGATAAAAAAAATTGTATGCATTATTCTTATTATTAATTATCGTATTATTAACGTAGATTTATAGTATTTATATCAAGAATTCAATTAATATCAAATAAAGACTGTATTAATAAAAACAATCTTAATTAATGTATAATTTTTTTAATATATAACATTTTTTGGTCAATGTTATACATTAGATGGTACGACATGTTATGACAAAGATATCTTCTGGTACTGATACTGCAGAATCGTAATAATGAGATTTGGCAGGCAAATCTTCGCTCTTAATCCAAGTATGAATGAAAAAGAAATAAATACATAAATGATGTATGCACAGTGTTCAGAAGTGTATCGCAGACGTATGTATGCCATCGTTAAGTACGCAATTAATACATCTTGAGTTCAATCTCTCAGGCCGGCAAACTCAAAATCCTTGGCATAATTGAGAAAGACATTCTGGCATGCAATGTTTGTCGTGTCCTTTATATAAGATTTTTCAATTAAATCATAAATTAAGAAAATTATTAAAAATAGTTAATATATAATAACAAAAAAATAGTTAATATATTAGTTTTAAAATTTTAATTACAATATTTTAAGTTTATTTTTAAATAAAATCAAACTCTATTATTATATTAATTATTAAAAATTTAAAAGATTTAACAATAAAATATATATATATATATATATTGTTAGAAAATAATATAATTGTATTTCAAAAAAAATTATTATTTTATTATTTTAATTTCATTGTTATTATTACTAATATTTGCCATTTTATATAATTTTTATAAAATAATTATTATTATTATTATTTATATTTTTAGTTATATCTAACGTTTATGTGAATAATTATATTGGTTTAAGTATTTTACATATTTTAAAAAAATCATATAAGAGAAGGATTGAATTTTTTTAATATATTAATTTTTTGAATTATAAGTTTTAGATTTTATTAGTTTTTGAAAGTCTTATTTTTTCAAATAATAAAAGCCTATTATATTTTGAAAGATTTTTAATTACATTGAAATAATCTTTAAAAATAGTGTTTTACACGTCTCAAGATAAATTATTGATTATTTACTTTGAGTTATATTGAATATATATATATATATATATATATATATATATATATATATATTAAAAATTATATTCAAAAATCAGTAAAAATCTTCAAAAAATTCTTATAAGAGAATTAAAAGAAATATTTGATTAAGTAGACAGTATGTAAAAATGTGAATAAAGATTAAAAAAAAATGAACATAATAAATTAAAAATATCATATCTTTATTTAACGTAAGAAGGTATATATATCCATTACATTATTATACGATAGATAAAAATTAAAAGTGACGTAAACCAATCCAATAATACAATTTTAAAAACGTAACAAAATCAAATTGAAATTACATTGTTTTTTTTTTTTATGGTATTACTCCCTAAATTATACCTTATTATTCTAATATACTTATATGTTTAGTAATTTGATTTAATTTAAATTTATTATTGTAAGTCTCATGTTTTTTATTATATAACTTTTGAATTTTAATCATACATAAATTTTAAGACGTAAATCAGCTAGTGAAGTTTGTTTATCTTAATAAATGCTCTCGAGTGTTGAATCTCTAAAATTATAACTGTGACAAAAAAATATTGCTATAATAATTTTATCTAATTCTACTTGAATTAGTCGGATATATAATATGACTTTCCACTTAAATTATTCTAACTCAATTATATTTAACTTTAGAATTTAATCAATTATATAATAAAATAAAAAGGGCCAATAAATTGAAATAAATTATTCCTTTTCTTCAAAACTAATTCAATCGAATCTACTGATGTATTTAACTAGCACAAAAAAATACAAAATATTTAATAAAAGTATTACTTTATCATACTATAACATCCAATTAATAAACGAGTCACAATTTTCCCACCTTAATTTTAAAGATAATTATAATATATCACATATCACTCTACCTTACTCTGATATTTAATGAATTCACACTTTTATCTTGATTTTAGAAGGGTATAATTTTTCTACATCCTCTATTTTACATCCATTCACACTTTTTTTTTTTCTAATTTCATTATATCATACCATTTATATATATATATATATATAGAGAGAGAGAGAGAGAGAGAGAGAGAGAGAGAGACTCCACTGTGTACACATAAACTATTTATCTTCTCTTTCTTAGCTGGTGGTGTTATTTTTCTAGCTATATAACTTTCCACTTAAATTTGGCCAAGGTTGTAACAACCTCTTTAAAGAGTGAAAGAATATAAAATTATACTAAATTTTTTTACAACCTTTTTTAACAATTCATATTTTTATATATCTTTCTATCTTGTTAACCATCTCATTTCATGCGTCTTTCTTTTCTTTTCCTATCCATCTCTTTATAGTAAGATATGCTGTAAAATTGAATTGTTAAAATCGCATTATGCAAAGGATAATTACCAATGGCACAAAGCTTATGTTTACATAAATAAATATGCTTTTTTTTTTTTTTTTTATGTTTGAACATAATTTTAGTTTCTATAGTCATTTTTAGTTGTTTCGATTACGGTCCTTTATATTTTGATTTTTTCATAAATAATACTTTAACAAGTGAAAACTCCAAAAAATTAACCTAAAATTATATATATATATATATATATATATATAGAGAGAGAGAGAGAGAGAGAGAGAGAGAGTAATGACTAAAATTTTAAAAAGTATTTCAAAGAATTATATTTATAATTTTAGTTATCGTATATTTTCATATACAAGATTTTAGTATCTTTACTTTTAATTACTTATATTTAATCCCCATAGTTTTTAATTATTCAAATTGATTCTTTTATCTCAAATTTTATTTAATAATTAAAAATATATAATATAGATATAATATACCATTGATTTATACAAATTCATAAAAAAAATATTTACATACAACTAATAAATAACTTTATATTTTATACATTTTATTATTTAAATATTTGCTGCATGTTTTACTTTGTTACTTGATATAGATCAATGATTCGTCTCACTTCTACTATGCTAATTTATACAAATCAATGACAAACGTGAGAAATGCTAAAATTTAACGATGGAAAATTTGTAATAATTTGCATTTGACCGTAATTAGCCAACAAACTTGCAATTACACTTCTCTTCAAGCTTGTCAAAACCTAAAAATGAATTCATATACATTACTTGAAGATTGAAGATAATTGAATGCAAATTTTAACATGCTAAGTGGAATGCTAAAAGCTTAAACTCTTCTTACTCTCAACAATCAAGCCAAAAATTTCAGCTCATTATGTTGTTACGAGCTGTGGGTGGCTAACAACAGTGAAACCCCTTCACGGCAAAAACATTTCAACTAGGATAAATAATAACGACTATCCTTAAGGTATGATAAAATTGCACTTGACTCCAGTCTTCCTTCAATATTACAATCCAATTGAAATGAGACTTATGGATCTTCTGTTAGAATATTTAACAATATATTCTGTAATAAATAGGGTTAACTTAGTTTCTATATGATTAAAAAGAAAAATGGCAAACAGCTGATAAATATTATTCGACGATCAGCCACAGGAAGAAAAACAGGGGGCAGAAGGAGGCGTGGATTCACCTTCATATCTCAAAATTTTCCAATCTTCACCAAAGTTTGTTCCATAGTCGAGGATTTAGGCTTTGATTTGGAGTCAACGTAAGTGTCCTCTTTAGCATTGCATGTCTAGTAAGGTGCTATTTTATTTTCAAAATCAATTCCATCGTTCATGAACCCCACTATATATTGGGCTGCAAGTTTGGCAAATTTAATATGGCATCATCTGTTTTTGTGTGTACATAAACAGAATGATTTGCAAAGCCTGCCTTAGAGCAAGGAAAAAACTTCCTCGTGGAGACATTGAATGAAAAAAAACTAGATATATGGCTAATCTAATCAATGGTTACAAACAGAACCCCTCCAGAACATCAATTAGACCAACAAAACCATCCATCATTGAGCCCATTAAGACATGAATACTCGGCGTGGTATTGAGCAGGTGACCTATATCTTTGGTTTTCTCAAGTCATCTGGCAACTTTAAAGAGAAAATAAAGATGCATCTGGCAACTCAACTTCTCCATCCAAATACCACATGCTAGGGCTAACAGCGACCCCATCATTTGAGCATAGCCCAAATTTTTACCCCATCAGCACCTCCCTCTTTCATCAGCATTACCATTTATTTTTGGGTCGACCACATCAAGTATGCTGAATCCTTCTGTCTATCGATCCCACACCCAACCAAAACCAACCCTTCTGCTTATTGCCTTGGGTTAGCCCCATTTTCATACAATCTTGCCAGTCCAAAATCACCTAATCTTCGATTGAGTTCAAAATTTGGCAGCGCATTGGTAGCCTTCACAATTGCATTTGATGAGTTTAGCTACCACTGATGTCACTGACCAACTAATGGCAGAATCATGAGATGAGGTGCAGTGCCTAACGGGGGAAAAATGAAGTTGAAGTGTAATTTTGGCAAATCTAAATGACCCTTTCAATAATGAAAAGAGTTTTAAATACTTAAGAAAATAATCAAGCACTTATCCAAACCAGTGACCATTTTCATAGAAGAGTCAAGAACCCCCATGACCCAAAAGAAGTTTGCATGGTAGAGGAAAAGTAACAAATAAAATTCTAAGTCTAACAGATGCAGACAACAAATTGATCCATAATTCACAGTTAAGCCTCCAACTTAGAGATCTTTATCCACTTGGCCTAACGAAATAATGTAAAATGGAGAAGCACGTTTATTTCAGAATTATGCTATTTGATAGTTTATGGTTTCTACCATATTTTGGGGATCATTATTTATTTTGAGAGATTTTATCTTCAATAAGTTGTTTGTTTTATTGAAAATATGGTCATTAAATGTTCAACTTGATTTCACCGATTTCATAAGATTAAGAATTTATATTTTAGGAAGCTAAAATTTGATTACAAATTTGTATTTCATTATGATTAAGATTTTTCCAGGATTTTGATTATCCTTGGGTTATTATAAACATTCTGCACATGCTTCATGTTATTCAATCTTTAAATACCTTCTACCCAAGAATTCTGTGTTTCGAATTTATGATTGGAAACCATTCGACAAACTTGGGTTGAACTTGTATTTCATTAAATGTATCAGATTCGGGGGTTTCAAATACCATTAACATAATAATACAGTATGACCATTATATTACTAATCCCCCCCCCCCCTCCGGGGTCTCTTTTTACTCAATCCTAGAAACTACAAAGACACATTAACCCCAAATAGTACACAATAACATTTAGGAGGCCTTAAATGTGTGAACTCTTACAAACTACTCAAGTATCTAACCTTGAATGACAGCAATCACAGCACTGATGATTAATATCTACTCAATCTTGTATAACATATTTATTGTTTAAATTGTTAATATAACTTAGTGACTTGATTTGCAATATCCGCTAAATAATAGCATATTATTTGCTGTTTCAACATTGCTCTGTAACAGTTAACAAACAACAAGAGCAACATTGATACTCTTTAATTCATATAACAGCATTTTATACAAAAATCAATAACTGTTATTTGTTCGTATACCACTATTTCTGACAATAGAAACATATACAATGTTGGACAATAATATAGGTCAATGACAGAGCATGGATGTAACGGTACACATGATCTCTAGAGTTCATGGGCAGCAGCACTTCTATCACCAGCTTTGAAATAAAAACTACTTTAGAGAATACTGTGTTGGGAAAGGATATCTTTGTGATAAAATTTGTCTACAATCCTTCACATTTTCAAGTATACCATACTTAGATTTAGGATGCTAAGTAGTGTGAATGGACAGAGACATCCACCCACATAACAAATGGAATCCTCAAAAACAAAGCAGCTATTGAAAAACTGCGCAAGAACTGGTGCCATGAATCTTGAGTTGTAGAGGGTCTGGATTCACTAAGTACAAGGGCAAGCATAATAGAAAGAGATATATGCACAATAATATGAGAAGAGCAAAATTACCAAGCGCACTTCAATAAACTAAGCAAAAATTTTGAGTGATGTGAGAGGAAATAACCGCCCTGCTCATCAGCATCAAAATTTCAATATTTCCACCTAACTTTCTGATAGATGGTTAAAACACAAGGAAATTTCAAATTTGTAGTTTATATAATAAAACTACAATTCATGACATGTGTTTGTCTAAATGTCTAGGGCTACAATTATATTGTAAAATTATAATTCTAAGTCAAATTTCAATTCCATTCTGACACCTACAGCTAATTAGAAGTATTTTGGGCAAGATTAGATTAGGTTTGACTAAAAAAAAATCCACATGTGGCAGTGAGTAGTGACGATGATGGTGGCAATGATCAGTTAGCACACGGATAACTTTGATTGCAAAAGATATTTAAGACAATACAAGTCTCAAACAGCATGGCCAAACTTAAAGTTCCATAGACTTAAAGAAGGCAATCTATAGCTTCTTAAGATGTCACTAAACCACGGTGGATGCTGTGACACTGAGCTGTTATAATTACATGTATTTAGTAAAATCAATCAATCAATCAAAATTGATATACCACATCACCATCAAAGGAAAAAAAATGCATCCCAGAGTTAAATAGTCATTTGTCCAGCACACAAAGTCAAGTTATGCATGATAGAAATCCCCCTACCCAAGCCACATTGCTAAAAGCTAGGACTGCAACGATAAATTTAAGGGCCGAAACTGTTAATCTAATTACAACTAAGATAGGCACAATATTAGCCACTAAATTAATACATCAAAAAGTAAAACCTTCTGATATTATCCAGTTAGACATACAGTTAACTATAACCACAATTACAAACACCATAATCGGGTTAGACCTTGAGAAACATGAGCTAACCTGCTAGAAGCCTAGAAGATCTATGAAAACCTTTCAAAATCATAACAAAAATCTAGTAAACATTATACTTACCACAACACACGCACACACATGTAACCTTGGAATAACTCTTTAAACACAAACATTGAATAAGGGCAATAACTCCATTTTCTATATCATAATATAACAGCAACACAAAATTACAAGGTTCAAAACGCAGGAAGAATTAAACCATAAGCACTGCGATCCAAAACGACATCCCTAGAATATGACGAGCAAGGAAAACAGAGTGTAAATCAAGAAACACGCGTACGCTATCAAGCCGCGATGTTCATCCCCGCCATCGGCGAGCAAGACAACGAGACCCGTCGAAGCCCTCGTCGCCCACAACACGAAAATCGCGGCGATCGAAAGCCGAATGACACCGTCGACCGGTAAGAACAGCGAAAGAGCGGAGAAAATCACCACCGGCAACATGCAGTAACCGACGACACTGGTGCAGGTGTGCAGGTCGAGGTTACCCGCTCGACCGGCTAACATGTTGAAAACGACGTACAAGAAGATGGAAGAGACCACGATCCAACCCAAGATCACACCGAATTGGATTTTCCCTGCGAGTAATTGGAAGAGGCAAAAGGACATGTAGAGGAGAATGGGGCCAGATAGATCCGAATCTTTGTGAACCGTGTGGTTTACCCGTAACGGGTTCAGAACCGATCTGATTTTGCTCCAGATTTGATCTGGGTGGATCCCGAGCTCGTCCAAGAGGGGTTCCTCGTCGTCGAAGTTGGCGGAGCCACCGGCCACGGTGGGGCCGGCGTATATTGGGCCGGAGGAGGTGGATGCTGCCGCGGAACCGATGTCGAAGGACATGAAGGGGATGCCGGCGTTTGGTTGGAACGGTGGAGTAGGTACGCGCCGCTGCTGAATATTTGGGGCTGCGGCGGCCGGGTTTCCTGCTGATGGAAACGCCACCGGCGGAACTTTGAACTCTTTTGCCATGATGAGTTTGAGATCTGGTTGTGGGAACTGGGAAGAGAACTTCGAGGTCAAATTAGGGTTTTGAGAAGGTTCAATCTCTAAAATTTGGGGGCTTTTGTTCTCCGAGTAAAGATAGAGAGGACTGACCACAGCGTTTGGGAGTCTTTCCGTAGGTTCGTCGACGTTTACACTCTAATTACTTCGGGTTTTCTTGTGTAACATTAAAAGTTAATAAATTAGTTTTTTTTTTTTAAATTATAGTATTTTATAATATTAATGTATTTATTTGCATTTAATTTTATAATTTTTAATAAAATATTAGTTTCTTAAAAATACTCTTACACTTTTTTTTAACTTGTATCTCACACACACACACATATATACAAACACATTAATGCCATTTTAAAAAATTTAGTTTTCTGAATGTAACTTGATAATTATTGAAAGAAATATACCTGTAAATAATATGTGCGTGTGAAGAGTACTAACTTCTTTGTTGAAGAAACTTATATGGCAATGGTCTTGAAAAATTTTGGGTATAAATCTTTCTCTGTCTTGCCCTCCATTCAAAAAGCAGTTGAGAAATTAAAATAAATATTTCTTTTGAATTAGGGATAGGACTTAACTCTTTGTGGCAAACTAAATGGTTACCTGGTTTGTTACATTGCAATAAAGTTCTGTATGTTAAACACATTTATGATATCAATTTTAGAATGAAGGATCTTTGGGATGGTTTTGCTTGATATATCAAAACTCTAATGGAAACAATTGATATTCACATTAATCTTAATCTTCCTTACACGTGAGTGTGGAATACAATTTACCAGGCACTTACTCAGCTAAAGCAAGTTATGGCAGGCTTACTACCTCTCAAAATACCACAGCAGAATGGTAGTTGGATTTAGAAAATACATCTTTGGTGCATGGACACTATTCTCCTTATCATAAGTATGCTACCCTTTATCAGGTGCATAACTCAGTTACTTTCACATGACTGGAATGTGATTGTAAAACATGCTCTATGAGAAAGTAATGCTTGTGTTGGTGTCCTTGCTAGTCCTTGCTAATCTAAGAGTTACCCCTCTCATAATTACCACTTGCTTAGGGATTCTCCATCTTCTTTTCTCCTTAACCTCGATGCTGATAGAATTGGTTCCTTGTCTTTGAGATTATAATTTTGTCTTCTAATTTTCCCTACACCTAAAAAAATATATACAAGTGTACTTACATTGACCGGAGAAAATTGAATGTCCACCTTCCCATAGCCGCTTAAAACTCTAAATCTCTTGTAGGAATCTTGTTCCAGGTTGATGATTGTTCCTTATGAAAACAATATTTGTGTCTTTATCAAATAATTTAAACTTTTAAATTGATTATTTTATATTATAATAGCAAATTTATATAATCGATATAATATTGTGATTTAGCATTTGATAAACTTCAAACTCAAGTCATTTTTGTATAAGTAGACGAGTATGTTATAAAAAGTATTACCAAAATTGTAAGTGTGGATTAAGACCTCGACTTTATAAAAATTTTACTTTTATCATTGATTTCATAAAATGACATTATTTTAATTCTTTTTTATATAAAATCTTTAAAAAAAAAAGACTAAAATAAACAAACATCGACTAAAATAAGTGATTTTTTAATTATTAAAACTAGAATATGGTTTTTATAAAATTAAAGATTAAATTAATTTTTAAAAATTAAAATAAGTATTTATTTATATTTTATCCAGTAATTAAATTTTTGAGATATTTAATTTATTACCATAATTCATGTTCAAACTCTCCCATAACTTTCTATTGGAAAATTCATTCATTGCTATATGATTCTGTATGTGCAAAATGGGAGGCATTACTTTATTTTGAGTAAGATTCCTACCAAATTAAAAGACGAATGAAGTAAAAAAAGAAGGGGAAAATGAATGCTGCAAAAAGCCCTTTAGCTAAAAAAGCCACACTATCCAATTCTTAACCTGCTTGGTTTTGTGGGTTTTTTGACCCCAGCTTATCATATAATGAGTCTTTTAGTCTTGTGGACTTTGTGACTCTGACCCAAGTAGTTAAGGACTCACTTGATCAACAGCTTTAGAGAAAATCATAATTAATTATCATAGATATATGAATAATATTATACTTATGTACTAAATTTAAGTTTTATTTAGTAAATTTATAGAAAAATTTATATGAAAAAAATTAGTATAAGTTTTTTTTTAATTTTCCATAAGTTATAAATAACTTAGATTTCTCTATATTTTTAGAAGTTATCTAATTCAAATAATCTAAAATTTGAATAGATAAGTTATTTTTAACTTACAAGAGAAATTTTATTTATTTTTTATACTAATTTTTTTATAATTTTTTTAAAAGTTCACCAAAACTGAGCCTTGATTATGTTTTGTTTTGGTTTATTTTTAAAATCTTATTTTATCTATTCATTTTTTTTATTTCAACTTGATTTTACCGTAACAGAAAAAAATGTCATAAATGAAAAAAAATTAAGCAGTAAAAAATTATCCACAATTGCCAAGTAAAATTAAAATAAAATAACAAAAATTTAAAAGACAAATAAAAAATTGAAGCCAAATTACAAAGTTTACCTATTATATATAGCAAAATTAATCTTCTTTGAATTTTTACGCCCTTTGCACTGTTTAATCAGTATTTGGACATAGGTTCAAGTTGTATTTTGATTTTTTTGTCAATTTTTAACTAGTAATAGCTCAAGGGAAAGATCACAAAGCGGGCTTTGACATCACGTGAGCTAAACTTCTCTTCGAAAGACGAACATTACTATGTTACCCAACAAGTGTTGGACCAAACCCAAACACTAACAACACGAGTGAAAATTCATAACCCAACATAATCGTGGTCTCTAGTACCGATTGTTGGAGGGGAGAGCCCAAAAGGAGAGAGAGAGAGATTTCCTTCAATGGATTAAGTAAACATCCACAATTATATTTCAACTCAAAACCTTAACAATGATTATGAGTCTTTCCATTATATACCGTCCTCACCTAACCACTTCACCACTCACAAGTAATTGTTATTTGCTCTTTATGTCAAAACAAAATAGAATAAGGTCCACACTTAACAACATCCAAAATGACTACTTCACTTCTGATGAACCCATTTTGCATTGCTTCATGGGTAGATTCATACCTGTTATGTAATTCACTTTTTATTTCATGGTACATTGTTGTCGAATTCACTTATCCATCCTTGAGTTTTGCTTTAGTTCCTTTCATTTCTTATTAGGTGTAAAAGAACTCTTTTTGGCAACTCGAAACAGATTATGCAAGTCCTATACACGACCATAGAGCATATTATAATCACACATGCACACAGCGGCAAAGGAATAATGAGCTAAACATATGAATTTATATTCCTTTCTAGCTCATAGCCATACATCCACTTTGTTCAGAAATTCATATCTAAACCCCTCATACAAAATATGACAAAACAAAGAAACGGAAGTGATAGTAACCGGATACCAAATGATTATCCTATGCAACAGAAACTACAACCAACCACTGTTGCGCTCACTTTGGTTCTACAAAAAAAGGGTCTATCTCTTAAGGGGACTAGTTGCTGGAACTAGAAGGATTTTGGCTGGAACTTGAGCTAAGGTTCAGGTCAAGAATGGAGTTTGGAGCATTGGTTTTTGCATTGCCCTTGGAGAGCTTCTTTTTAAGTTCAGACAGAAGTGCTTGGTTCTCTTGATTAAGAAGTTGAGCTTTCTTCCTCAGCTTCTCATTCTCTTTCATTATGTGACAGTTCTGGTAGTACAACTCTGAGTTCAACCTTTCCATGACTGTGAAACAGCTCCCACAACTATTCACAGTGCCTTGTCACCTGAAAAAAAAAAAAAAAAGGGAATCAGAACAAATAGGAAATGGGATCTTCAGATAATACTATTAACTGGCCCCGGGACTATAATTCAGTAATCGAACCCAAACTAACTTATATATAAATAAATATATATAATTACAAATCTCCACCTCATCGTGAAAAACATAAAAGATATGAGTATGATTGAAAAAAGCAAAAGAAGAGAACTCGTGAACAAAAAAGAAGGAAATGCCATCATTAAAAAAATTTAAAACAAAGAACCTTATAATAATTGATTGAAATCTAAAAGGGAAAAAACAATTATTTACAAGCTTCCTAGCGAATGTGTTGCTTTATGATTTGCTTTGGTAGATATAATTATGACACCTAAACGAAGAAGCCAACGACAACAGGGAAAAGCATACGGGGTGGAGGCAGAACAATTGAGTCTTTTGGACCACCCTGTCAAATAAATAGGCCATATGGGTTGTCTGCACAACTAAAGAAGAAGATACAGAGGTGGAATAACAGTTGTCCAAATCTGCACTCACTTGAAAGCGCAAAAAAAATTTGGTTTCTTTCGGCTGTCCCAAGAGGGAAGAAAAGGATAAAGGACACACATAAAAGAGACAAGCTTCATACGAAGATCTTCTGAGTGTTTGTATGCCTATGTAACAAACAAAGTTATTGTTCTCACGCATATAACCACGTTATAGGTGCTCAAATATTTAATGTCAGCATAGCCAAAAGTTGTTAGAACTAATAATAATAAATGAGTAGAGGGGGGACCTTAAAACCCCTATTTTAGTATATTCTATATATTAAAAAAAACAAAATAGGCTGTTATCTTTGAGCTAGAGAAAGACAAAGAAACCATTCAAAGGGTGGGTCTTTTTGTATTAAAAAAGAATATAATAATTAAGTGTAAGGAAACCAAAGCCTAATGAATTCATATAGAAAAGATTTGAATGCCAAACATTTCTGAGAATATAAAACAACATGAATACTTAGGTGGAAGAAGCCAACCAGACACAGAATAAAGATATTTGGTCTCAGATATCTGGAAACAAGTTAAAGCAAATACTACATGCAATGGCCTCAAATGGGTATCAAAATACACCACCACCGGAACACCCTGTCTAATGTCTATATTTCTGTGTGAACACAAACTAAAACGTGTGAGAGAGAGAAGGGTGGGGTCCTATGTCTTTTTTTCTTGAACTTTTCAAAAAAGATCACCTTTTGAAGGAAGTTAGCAGAAAACTTTGGTGGACAAATCAGAAAACAAACTGGAGTTTGGAACAGGAAGGTGAGAGTAGCAGTAGGAGAAAAGGGTGAGTTAAGGAAAGGAATGTGTGGGA